GCACTGGTAAGAGCGACAACAAGGGTGGCAAGAATCCCAAGGCCGTGCACTTTTTGAACCACTACGGTGGGCACGATGATGAGGAGCCCGATGACAACCATCATGTCTCCCACACCGTGTATGTTTCTCACTTGGTGCCATCACACCAGGTACACCTGCTGGATGCGACAAAAGCGGCCGGACACATCATTTTGGACACGGCATGCCAGCGACTGTGTGCTGGCAAGGGTTGGTTTGAGGCCCAGAAGAACAAGCTCCTTTCATGGGATGTCACACCAATTGAACTTCCAACCTCCGAGTTCTTTGAGTTTGGTAAGGGCACACCCATCGAGTCCACCTTCAGCATGTACTACCCCATCCAACTTGGTGAGTACATCTGCATCCTGGCGCCATGCATTTTGGAGGCTACTATTCCCTGCTTAGCAAGTCGAACATGGCTCCAGGAAGTGGGTGCAGTCATCGACCTTTCCAACCAGTCGGTCTATTTCCATGTGTTTGAGGTCACGGTCCCCTTGGTTTTGGTCAACGGACACCTCGGTTTGGACATGTCGCACCGCCGTCGCCAGCAGGATTGTTTTGATTTTTGGAACGCCCATCAACGAGAGATTCACGATGAATGCAGTCAAGGGCACGTCCGTGAGTTCATTTCATACCCGCTATCACATCAAGCTCAAGTCACGGCGCAAGCCTCTCCGCCTCAGTCGGGGTGGAGCCCTGCTGCGGATGCACCTCGATCGACCTCCACCGCCTCCGTGGCTATGGCGCTGGCGCTACCTGGTCAAGAAGGTGGTGGGCTGGGCAAGACAGGCCCACCGGTTCCTCCGACTGCCTCAACGCTCGGAGGAGACACCATTGGCCGCTGCGAAGACCAAGGCCAAGGCCATGAAGGCCAAGTTCAAGCCGGAGACCACCTATCTGGCGACCACGGACTGCGAGCACCAGCACGTCAAGAGGTCAGGGAATCGGCACGGAAGCTATGCTCAGTGCCTGGACTGCAAGATCAAGTGGAAGTGGAACCCCACTCTCCGAGGTTGGGAACACTTCATCGCGGCCTCCAGTTCCTCACAATTGCCACCGCCTTCCTTGGGCACTGTCTTGGATCAGTCATGGACGGGCAGCCCAACCGGCTACAAGAACACGAGCGACCAGCTGCCGCTGCCACCTTCGACGCGGGCTACCCGAGCTACAACCTCGACGAGATCTTCGGCAAGGACCTCCGGCCCACTGCCCAAGGCCAAGGCGGGCCAGCGACAACAGAGTGTCTGGGATTTGGTTCAAGACCACCAGAGGAGACACGGTCCAGCTTCAAGACCGACACCAGTTCAGGACACCTCTCACCTGGACCTCGAGGAGCTGCTGGAGAGCGACCTGGCGCGCTGGGAAGAGGCGGAACTGGGAGCCGACGATCCACGACTTCCTCCGGGATGGAACCCGGAATGGGACGTCATGATCGACCAGACGCAGGAGCCACCAGTCTTGGAGGTGAGCGAAGACGACTACGACTGGGAGAACTACGGCGACTCACTGGCGTCCTGAATCGCTCAGCGGACATCCTGGCCGTCGAACAGAAGATCTATGAAGCACTGCCCACGGCCCAGAATGTCCCCAAGATCGACATCATGGAGCTCTATGCTGGCTTCGCCGATATCTCCTTCCTCGCTCACCAGTATGACTTGCATGCCTTGGAGCCCTTCGACCTGCTCTATAACAAGGACATGACACGCCGCCGAGATAAGTTGGCATGGCGGCACGCGAGAAAGGAACACCGTCCACTACTGGTCGTAGTTGAGACGGAGTGCACAGAATGGAACATCTTCAACGAGAACCTCAACTACCTGGGCAAGAACAGAATGGATGAGCTTGAAGCCAAGCGGGAACTCCAATACCCTCTGGTCAAAGAAGGAGTTCATGCCTGCTATGACCAGATCAACGATGGCAACCTCTTCCTCTTCGAGAACCCCGCAGCTTGAAGAATTTGGGAACTGCCTGAACTACAACAGCTGGCAATCAGAGATGACACCTATGTGGTCCAATGCCACTCCGGTGCCTACGGAGGATGCAACAGTCGCGGAGAGCCCATCCGCAAGCTCTATCAATGGATCACCAACTCACTCGAGCTGGCAGAGGCACTTTCCAAGAAGATGACACCTGAACAACTGGCCTACTGCGTCCCCTTGATTGGCAAAGAGGTCCGCAACAGTGCCAGATATCCTGAAAAGCTCTGCAGAGCAATTCTCAAGGCCCTCAAGGCCGAAGCTCGTAAGAGATGGCCACAACGTTTCATCAGGCCCAACGAGGTCCTCTACGAAGAGCCCATGCAAGATCCTGCAGCCTGGATGGACGCCATCAACAAGACCAGGCGAGTTTTCGAGATGACCTCAGTCAGGAGCATCAATCTTCCTGACACAGACCCGCTCTATGCCGAGATCGCCAACCTGGTACCCTGGGAGCTGACAAGAGTCCAGATCGCACGGACACCAGCCCAACGGCGACTGCCACGAGACATCCTGTTCACACATCGTGGTGCAGCCATCGAGTACCAGGACGGACAACTGGCAATCGAAGCCGAGTCTTTGGATGGAATGCACTTCCCAAAGCAACGGTTTTCAAAAGGTGTGTCTCTAGCCATCTTCTGGTTCGGCTATGGCGAACCTAAGGCATCACCACCACCGGAAGAACAACCACCTAAGGAGACACCGCCACAGCCTCAGCCAGACGGTAGCAAACCACCGGCACCCGCACCGTCGAGGCCAACTGAAACTGTTACTTTCAAGAACTGCCCAGCTGACGTGCCACAAGAAGTTTGTTCGGCGGTGAAGCGATTGCACCTCAACCTTGGACATCCAACGGAGAAGGAACTCCTCCGACTCTTGGCATACCAAGGAGCTATCTCCAAGCACATGATCACAGCCGTCAAACACCTCCATTGTTCCAGTTGTTCCAGGAACAAGCCACCTCTGAAACCACGTCCATCGGCAATGCCAGTGGCCAACATGGGCCAGTTCAACGACACCATCCAAAGCGACGTCTTCTACTGCAGAGACGTGGTTGGGACGAACTATGCCGTTCTGGGAATCATTGACCAGTCCACCTTACTGCATCAAGCCTGTCGGCTACAGGACATGTCATCCAACCACACCCTGGAGATCTTCCGCAACCTGTGGTTCAAGCCATACGGTTTTCCAGGAACCATCAGGACAGATCCCGGAACAAACTATGGCCTCCACTTCAAGCAGTACGTGGAACGGCGCGGGATCTGGCTGGAGATCATCCCAGCCGAAGCACACTGGCGCATCGGCCTCATCGAGCGCCGCAACAGCGTCTTAAGGGACATCCTTGAGCGCATCATCGACGCAGAGTCCATCTTCAACGTCAACGACTTTGACCAAGCCCTGGACTCAGCAGTCTTCGCACTCAACAGTATGACATACACGCACGGCAGACCGCCATACATGGCAGTCTTCGGACAGATACCACGCATAGGGGCAGGACTCCTACAAGATGACACAGCACTCATCTGCCATCCAGATCAACAAGGGATGGTAAGACCCGACATCCTCAGAGCAGAAGCCATCAAAGCACTCGCTGACATCAACACCAGCCAAGCCTTGCGGAGAGCACTACTCCGGAAGACAGCAACCACACATGCAATGGACCTTCAGCCCGGGCAGAACTGCGCCTACTGGAGGTGGCAGGTCCCAAACAAACGTTCAACAAAGAAGAAAGGAGCCTGGATCGTCGCGAGATTCCTCTCATACGATCCCGACGGCAAGTCAGCATGGCTTCACAGCGGAACAACGACGGTACACGTGGCACTCGAGCAACTTCGCGGAGCAGTTGGTTTTGAACAATGGCAGCCAACCCGCGAAGACCAACAGGTGCTGAAGCAAGCAGCAAACAACATCCGCCAAGACCTTTGGCAGGAGCATGCAACAACAGCACCAGCACTGGAGGAAGACACCTATGAGTACCACATGGACAACCTGGAGAACACCGACATCGCAGCAGCTGGAGCAGGCACGACAGAGGAAACCACAGTGGCATTACCTCTCGCACCACCTCCAGCAACAGCTACGTCCACCGAAGAGACGAAGACTAGAGATGAACAACCGACGACAGTGCAAGTGCAGCAGCAGCATATGGAACAACACTTGCAGCAGCAGCACAGCACAACAACGAACCTTCGGCTAGGAGATGTCCACTTTCACTCCTACCCGACGTCACCGGCCCAGAGACAAGTGACACCTCTGGACTATCACACACAGCGTTTTGGACTCACACGCTCAGCACGGTCCAGAACACCGACAAACAGGAGACTGACACCCAGAGGAGATGTCACCACAGCTTTTGTCACGACCCCGCACGACAAGGTGCACCTTCGGCCCAAATTTGCCTTAGAAAAGGCTGCGCGTCCTCACGCACACGTGCTGCCTAGATATTATACACTTAAGTTTGCACCTTTGATCAACTGCGTTTTTCTTCATCTACCCACACTTTGTTGCAGGTCACTCTTGAAGACCCTGTTGTGGCAAGCGAAATCCGAACAGGGCTTTTGGAGAGGCAATTGGACAACCTAGTTGGAGTCTATGGTCATTCTGCAAGCTTAGCAGAGTGTCGAACAGCAGCTGGAGGTTTAGACTCAGGAGAGTAGCAGGTTAAAGTTCAAGGGTGCTTTTCTCAGGATTGCTGTTTCTGCATTAAACGAGTTACAGCCGCATTGATTTGTGTCAAGTGCTTCATTTCTTTGAAGCTTTTCACGATCTGCGGCTTTCTGCAGAATGGATGCGCCGGATGAGCTCGAGCCAACTGCTCCAACATGAGGGATTGCTTTGCTGGTTCGTCTTGCAAAGTGTTTTGAGCAGCTCCACAAGCTGCTCCTATCCGTAGTGTCCTCCATGCTCCATATGTTTGTAGATATGCTTTTAAGAAATCTTCAGGAAACATGTACAAAGCTACAGGCCTGAAGGTAGCATTATCGTGTAAGTTAAAAAGTGGACTCAGGAAAGCTCCTGAAGACCAGTTAAGCGATGGTGGCAGTGGCTACTGGCGTTGAGAACATAAGGATCAACTTTTGTTTTCTGGCTCTTATGCAGAGGACCCAAAAGTAGGTTTGGAATTTGGACCATCATGCTCCGTCAGACATGATTTAGCCAGTCTATATAGGAACGCACCATTCACCAACTCAAACGACTTTTAGCGGCAAACCATGGGAAAGCGTGTTGCTGAAGGCGGGATTTGTGGGCTCTTGTGGAAACTCGCGACCTGATCGAATCACGAGAGGCAAAAGCAAACAACAAAACTCTTCTTTTGTTACATGTAGTCCTAGACTTCAATTTCCGAGATGGTTCGTGAAACTGAACCATGATGAAAAGTAGGTGACTTCAAGGGTGCTATTCAATCAAGAGTTTGTGCCTGAAGCGTGGCTCTTGTTTGCAGTCAGCCGCTCAATCAGCTTTGATGCAAAGGCACAGTTTTCCTGCAGCTACGGGATGCAAAACCTGCAACAGGGCAAACAGAATGAGTTTTAGAGAATGCGCCAGTTGGTTCAGGCATCAAAAGAGTGAAGCAAAGCCAGCGAGAACTGGAGTCGTCTATTCTTAGGCATGGGCCGAGAGATTTGTTGTCACCTTGTCTTTCTCTGAATCTGACATCACAGAGGCACACTTTGCTTCACTCATTTGTAGCAAGATTCTCTTATTTGGTTAGGAGTGGATCTTGGACAGGTTAGTACCGACTTTGGGAGTTGCTTATAAATATCGCGCTGTCTCAAAGCGCCGAAGCAATCCTGATGATCTAGCGAAGTCCTTCAACAAAGAAGTCAGACGCAAGACTTTGTAGGACTGAAGCCACTGGAAACAAAGTTATCCTAGGCTTTGGGATGATGGTCAATACAGCAAACGTGCAGAGTGTGGATGAAGATGGATGTTGGAAAGATTGATTGGACGTGTTGGAGCCAACCTTAAAAGGAAAAGAATATAGGGTGATTTCAAGGGAAAATTATTATTGTTGTTTTTAGTGGGAATCATATACTGTAGTTTTTTTTTGGTGGTTAGGTGGCTTTGGTGGCTTTTGTGGCTTTTGTGGCTTCTGTGTGGGTTTTGATGACTTTACTACTTTTCTAGTCAAAATCTCTACTTCTGATGCCATACCCCCTCAAAATCTATACTTTTGATAACTTTTCTCCTGAAACATGTTTGATGAATTGTCTGCTGAATTCTCTGCTCTTGATGACTTTACTAATTACAATCGCTACTTTCGATAACTTTTCGGGTAAAATCGCTACTTTTGATGACTTTTGTATTGCAATCTCTCTTTTGATGAGTTTTCTATTGCATTCTTTGTTTTTGATGACTCTTCTAGACAAATTTATTCTTGTAATTCCCAATCAAAACAACAATTCAAGTCCCGACCCAATATTATTGCTGTCCCGCTATGCAACATCGCCCGTTTAGGGAGCGACACCAGTAGAAGGGAACAGCTCGCAATGACTTGAGACCGCACCACTGACTTGCAGGCGATGTGCCAGCGGGCGAGATCGCCTAGACAAGAGGCCAACAACTAATTTTTTAGTTCTGCATGAAGGTATTTGTTGATTATGCCTTTTGCACAGGCATATAGAAGTAGCTCTGACGCACCTAAGTCTTGGCCTTCTTGCAGCCTGCAGTCAGTGGGAGGCTCGCCACCGGAGTCAAGATCATCAAGGTTGCTCCTGGTTCCACTGGAAGCAAGGAGTTGCACAGCATCGGCCACATCCAGAAGGACTTTCCTCGACTTTCCGCGTTTTCGTGAAAGGACTTTCCTCGACTCTGGAAACGTGATGAGGGTGACCGAACCAAGATTCGAGGCTCTGCCGAATGGTGCCCTGCATTCATTTCATGATATCTTGGAAGCGATAGCGGCTCGTTGATCCAGTATTCTTTTTGTGAGGACATGTTTGTGCAGGGTATCCTGCTAGCCATTCGGCCGATTCCAACTCCAGGATAATACTATACATAGAAACTGATCCAGCAATGCTGACACTGCTGGTTTATTCTGATAGCATTACTAGCATTGCATTTTTGTTTGCAGAGCACCATTGCCTTGAACAAAACAGTGACAGACCCAAAAGGTACATCCCTCGAAGAGCAGATCTCAGGAGACGCTTGGCTGGCTGGTTTTCCAGTTTTAGATCCTTTTCTTGTTCATACCTCCCAGCACTTGCTTCACAAGGATTACAAGGATTCTTTCACATCGAGTTGCATATGCTTTTCATTTGCATTTTGGCGGCGCTGTGTTTGCTGAAAGATTGCTATTGCATTTATTTGTATATATATATACATCTATCCACATACACATGTGGAGAGTGAATCCTCAAGATGACCGTGACAGACTGGACTGGTCGACCAAAAGAGAACAAGTAGCACGTGGGAAATTCACTCAGGAGTCAGACACCCAAAGATGAAACGAATTGAACCAAGACCCAGATCAGCCAGGTTTGCGCATGAAAGGCTCTCTGATGAAACGAGGAACCATACCTATCACCTGAAGAGAGAAGTTTTGTTGCAAGATGTTGTAGGAGAAGTAGCAGCTAAGAGCATAATGGCTCGGGAGATGCTAGTTTTAGACTTGAGCGTCGGGACCTTTGGTAGAGCATCAGGCACTTCAAAGCTCAAGTGTCAGACTTCATGGCTCGCAATTTGCCCAAACAAACTTTGTTTCGCGCCAGGGATGCTTTTTCTCCATGGAGGCAGCTATGTGGTTTACGCTCCTTGTGATTCTGTGTATCGATCGCTGGCCTCGCGATTGGCATCCCAATGTGGCCAGGTGCTGAGCAGACAGCAATCTGTTCTGCAAAATTCATGTCTCGCGAGTTATGTTTGCTGCTGCTGCTGCTGCTGATGATGATGATGATGATGATGATGATGATGATGCTGGAAGTTCTTTGACCATCTTATGATCGGTCACGGTCAAGCAGGCTTTCTGCCGGTAGATGCCTTGCCAAGATTGTATGACGTGAAAAGCGCAAGAAGATCAGGGAAAAGCAATATGCCAGCTGCTGACATGCCACGGCCAACTGTGTATGTTCGCTGCACGACGGCTTTTTCAAGGCCTTTGTGTCCTGTCCATCGACTACCGACTGGCTCCGGAGCATCGCTTTCCAGCCGCTTTTGAGGACGCTTGTGTAGTAAGCTCAGTGGTGCAGATCACTTAGACCTAGGACCTAGCCCTTCTGTTGTCGTTGTCAAAACTAAAACCGAGCCGCAAACGCAGAACAACATTTTTCCCGCAAGCGTTTCCGAAATAGTACACTTGCCCCTCTAGACCTACAAGCAGCAGACTTTGCAATGCTGCACTGCTGCTTCAGGTCTGCTTCTGTCGCAGATGTGCAAGTTCCACACTTGAGACTTGTACATCCGCAGTCCGCCACAAGTACACCTGCAGCTTGCAGGTCTGCTCGCTGCTTCAGATGTGGCGGTACTACACTTCCTATCATAGATGTGCTGCTGCTTGAGATGCATTCTTGCAGCTGCGAGTGTAGATGTGCAAGCAGTAGATTGCTGCGGGCCTTGGGGTCTTGCTTCAGCAAGCACTTCTGCTAACTTGCCCTATGCTCACATCCAGTATGACATATCTGAGTTCACGCGCGCGTCGCGCATCTAGGCTCTTTATATCTCTTCTTTCCTTAGCTGGCGGGCTGGCTGGACAAGGCTTGCGAAACGTGACCCTGTGCGGGAATTGTGGGACGCTCAACCTTGGGGTGACATGCGAATCCGCCATTTGCTCGATGACTGTTGGAGGCTCAAATGTGAGGTGAAGCAATTACTGATGAACCCTTCCAGGAACTCTGTGTGTGTGTGTAACCCTTGGAATCATAGGGATCCTTTCGGATTGTTTTCGCTTCACAATTGTTTTCCTTGTGTAGCAGGGGGACTGGAGCCGATTTGCCTATCCAGTCCAACGAAGCTATGGCATTTCGGCGGATGAGTGGTCTGATCAACCACTTGTACCTGCGCAATTTTTAAACCTTTGGTAAAGGGCTAATGCACTCGGCAGACATGAACGAACGTCGTCAGCCTGCTCGATCCGCGATCGTCGATGGGTTTCTTCCGCTTTGGGCCTTCTTTCCTCTTAAAGTCCTCCAGGTTCCCGTGGTTCGTACTTGTTCCCTTAGGAATTGGAACCCTAGGCCGGCGTGTGGCACCGCTTTCAGTTCAGTACACCCTATCCTAAGTGTGTTTGGCTTCGTGCCAACCCGGGATGAGCCCGCAGAGTGCCTCCCGTGGACCCGTCGAACGGGTGTACGTCGAACGTATCCACTGCCCGGATACAGAGCAGCTCGCAGCGAGCGTAGGTGGCGCAGGCCGTACGTACGATGATTTTGCCCCATCTTTGGAATTCTAAGCTGGCTCATGCCTTTACGTGACCGTAGCGGTCAAAGATGGCAGCCCCTGGGCACGCCGTACGTGGTCGCAGCGACCGAAGTTTGTTCAAGGTTCATTGGAACCTGTCGCGACCTTAGCCCCCTTCTCCCCCTTCCCTTCCCCCTTTCTTTCTTTGCTTCCTGGGGTTTTCCTGAATGCAACACTCAGGATCACCCCTCTCTTTCTTTGGTGTGTCCCTGGACGCTTGTTCGTAGCTGGGAACACCTGCCTTTTTCTTTTTCTCTCCTCTCCCTTTCTCTCCCTCTCTCTTTCTTTCTTTCCTTCTCTCTCTCCTTCCTCCCTCCTTGGGTGTC